TATGTAACCGTAACCGTAACCGTAACCATCTGGCGTCATCCGCCTGTCCAACAAGCATTGTTGGACAATGCTTGTTGGACAGTCGAAGTAGAAGGTTATGCAGTCATGTTGAATTGAGCCATACACAGCTTAGCAAACGGATGGGTAGCAATTGACAAGTGGATTAATTTACCAAGTCGGCGTTTCTTCATGGTGAATTCACACACATCATCAGGCCCTTCTAACTCATGGAAAGTAGAGTGTTCGGTCTTACTTCTTAAATGCTTTGTCGCTTGTCTCATTCTTAACCATATAATGCTTGCTCATGTCTTATGCAGATTGACCAAAACCACTGTTGCTTACCAGGACCTTTATATCGACAATCAATGTCATAGGCTTATCAACATCAACCTTTGTCTCGCGTTTGATCTAGCCTCCATACTGGGATAATAATCTAATAAGAGCTGGCCTCGACAAAGCAGTAAGTCTTGGTCATGAGAAAGGTACTTAAGGATATAGGAGGCAGATGCAGAAGTGATGTGCGCTTGTGTGTGCAAATGCAGAAGTGAGTGTATTAATGTTAGATGCAATTGTGTGGGCCCACGCAACTGCCTTGCGGGCCACACGATATACTAAACTTAAGTTTAGAGCTACCAACTCATCCTAAGGTATGTGGAACCCTCTAACTCAGTCTTTGCGCGAACCTTAAATATGTACAGACTTGAATATGCAAAAATATGCAGTATTAACCATGAGAGTTAACACGCACTAATCATACTTAGGGGGAATTGAACTCACAGCATCGACCCGGTGGCGTGGGTCAAGTGGTCAATGCTTCTGGGCCTGACGTTTTGTGGCGCGGGTTCGAGCTCCTCAGCGGACAAAATCGTAATCGTACCCGACATGCAAGAAATGTCGGCTACATGCAAAATATTACCGACAACAGCCAATAAGGACTTCGGGATGGCGACTCGTACAAGAAAAATCAAGAATCAAAATCAGATAAAAACACCCCAGCGGAATGAAGCAACGTAATATCTTAGTCATGGCCGAGTAGGTATAGCCGTGTAATAAGATAATACATACCAGCTTTTAACTGAACTCACAGCATCGTGGTAATACCTGTTAAAGACAAACCACTTGAGCCAATCAATAACCTTAACTTTTGAGCCTGTGCAAGTGTTGCGATTAGCACCACAACTAACAGGTACCACTTGAGCAATAAAGAGTAATCATTTTTACCAAAAAAAACCCACCAATCAACTCGCGGGTTGGCTTTGCTCTGCATTGCTTACGCACTTCATTGTGATCGAACATTTGCTTGCTAATGATTATCGTGTTGGTACATTTGCTAAGTACATTCTTAAGAAATGGGGTCGAATCACAGAAGAAGGTTTCATATGGTTGCGAATATCGCATTCAAGGAAGCCAAATATTCTATCGGCATTAAAGTCGTCGCTAATACTTTCATATCCGTCAACAGTTGTCATTTGACCGCATGGCATCTCATTACAAAGAAACAGATTGTAAGCAACGTATACGATATTTTCTATATACCTAATCACAAATCTTGGTTTCATTACGACTAGCGTAGAAATCAAAGATGATTGATCTCCAGAAATCTTGGCTTCCGCTTAGCGTAGATGTTTTTAACTCCCAATAAATAGAATTCGCCAGTCTCATCGAGTTGAACTTAAGCAAATTCTTGCATCGAGATATCCCGAGGAACATAACTTTACGCGCGGAGTTGCACTGCATACAGCTAATCAAGATGTTGCCGTCGATGAGGCCAAACGTTTTGTTGATATGGTCAGCTGATGTAGCGTCAGTGGTCAGGTGACGATAGTATACCAAATAAAAAAGTTAAGTTTTGCAGCAATGTATTCAAGCTCTCAAGTGTCACACCCAAAAATATTTTTGCCCTAGCATCCTGATTTTTGTACCCTCACGTGCTTTATTGGAAACTGAAATGTGTGAGTCGGTTCCTCATCCGAATATCAAAGATTATTCAAGAAAGTCTGATTTATGACCTTCTCTGAAAATTTAGGTAGCGCCCCATCCGCAGACGTACTCAGATCAAAATACTGGGAAAGTTATATTTGAGCCTTGATGGCTTTGATGAATGGGAATACGTCGAGATTGTTTTACCAGATCATTATGTCCTCAATTGAGTTCATCACATTGCACTCCCACACGAACCTTACTCGTTCGTAGTCATTCATGTTGAAGCAGGTTTCTCTGAGCTTGCTATCAAAAGCTGACTTAGACGAGACGGTATTTTGATTAAGAACATTGAATGCAGTTATGTACTCATAAGAGAAAGAAACTTCGCCGAGACCATAGACATATCTAATTTTGTCATCAAATTTACACCCACCGAGATATCTTGCAAGATTTTCATCGTAGCTGGTACATTGTTGTTTATATTGAGCATTTTGATGTCCGCTTTTTGATTACAGATTTTATGTTGTCGGTACTAATATCAGCAAACAAATCCATATTAATATCGTATCGACCAGTATTAAAACCGAATACTGATACTTGATCAAGAAACTACTTGTCGCCTTCGTCTGAGTACTTCAGCACATCTTCTCATACCAAGTCTCGATGCATAAGACCGATTTCGTGCAGTGCCACGAGCACCTTAAGTATATCGCGCAAGGCCATAAGGAGCTGCTGGGCATCTTCAGGCGGGGCAAGTTGACCAATGGGTGCCAGCTCTACATATCTCTTTTTCATTTTTGTCTTTTTAGCATCACAACATTGGGACAGAATGCCTTTTCATTTGATGATTCATACCCGCAGACTGCGGATAATCTTATCACTTGACATGTCCTCAGGATACGTCTTCACCACACAATCTTCCGTAAAAGCAATTTGCACACCAACGACTCATTTGAACGTCCAATACTTAAGTGCTTTTAGCAAGTGCACAAGCTCTACAACTGGTCGGGACAAAGTCGAAAAGTTGATCATGGCGAGAAAAAAACGAAGTCGGTCTTCTAGTTTACCCAAATCATACGTATCAATGATTTCTGATTTGACATCATGCTACGTCTTCTCGTTTTTCCGAATTACTAGCAAGCACGCCTGCAGTCCCGCAGCAGCGTAGCCCAAAATATATGGCGCATCGTCATATATCCACGTTAATTTCGCGTGCGATTCATCAGGAAGTTGCGAGATTCCACATGCTTTTCAACCCCGCGAAACACGCACAAATTACAGTTCTGGTAGTAGAAGCACATGTCCGTTTGATAGCGGCCAGTAGATGTAGACATATTCGTGTTGCGAAGAACTCTCCCGTCTAACACACGCCTCAGAAAGACCGCAATGAAGAAATCTTACAAACGGTGAACGTGAGATCAGTAGCGGGCTCGTTGCCAGAAACGACGGAGTCAATTATACCCCCAAGATACCAGCAGTAATATCTGAAAGTGTTTCACGCAGTTCAGGTTCAAACAGTTTGTCTGTAAAGCTGGATAGCTCTCCAGTTCTGTAATTCGATAAAATAATACTGAATAATCTGCAATTGACGGGGACTTAAATTCGAATCTTACGTTGCAGGTGCGTTTTCAAATCATCAGGGGCCGACGGTAGAGCTGTAATCTGCCCATCTTTAACAGCCTATATCCAGGCGTCAGGAATATTTTCGTCTTCCATTATTTTCCTTATTCTTTTGTTGTCCTCAGAGGTTGAATCATCCACCGGCACTACCACCAGCACGTGAATTTGATCTTCACCAGGTTGGAATTTATCACCAAAAAGCATGGGATTCTTGATTCACAGTGTGGACCTCATTTTCACGTAGCCTTGCAGGAACCCGCGTTCATCGAGTACCGCAGAAGCTACCCAGCCCTCATCAAGCTAAGCGCTGCCCTCTGTCTTGGCTAGGAGAAGCTCCAACTTAGCTGCGTCGCACTCGATTTTGTCTCAATTCTCGTCTTTCTTGCATGAGGTCTCCCACCACCTACACAGGAAACGCGTTACCTGCCGCACCAGCGATCGCACAGACTCATTAGATTCCGGAATGAGGCGATTTGAGCGGACATTGTGGTGTGACGCGATTTTCCAAACAATGATGAGACGCCAAGCCGAATCCTTGATGTAAAAACCTGTTCATTTGCTTTTACCAACATAGTTTCGACGTTGGCGGCTAATCTCAAAAAGACGTGGCTTTTGCATTAAAGATTGCGTGCCAAAATAGCAGCTGTAACTTCAGCAGTTTTTATACTTTTATGTTATCGAAATGACATGGCTCTCGCTTTATGGTGGTCGAGGGGTTGCGTCGTTGAGTTTGCTGCTGTCTCTGCTGGTGGTAAATTATGGTTTGGAAAAAAGCTGTCGCCGCAATGTTCTAAGTATTACTACTAGCTATTTCGTTTGTTATGAGCGTAGCTTTCAGACCTAGTGATATCAGAGAGAGCTTATCAATTGATCCATGGAGATCGAGCCCTTGACGCTGATCAAGATCAATTATATAGATGAGCACTTTGATTGTGATAAACACCTGCCAGGTAGTTGTTCATATATCAAGAGATTCGGTAGTGATAGTACTCGAAGTTTGTCTTGAAGGTAGTCGACCGCTGTTTTGCTTTTAATATAGGTAATGATTGATTTGGTCTCCTTGCTTAATTTGAAATCCTTGTTTGTTCCTTGTTGCGAGATGCGATCCCGTAAAACAGCATCAACACCATCAAGGTTAAAAGCATACTTGTTTGGACAACCTCCCTGCTGAACACCTTTCGATAAAGATTTTACCTTTTAGAGTTAGTTGGGGAGATCGCAAATCAAGTACTTACTTGATAATGGTGACATATTATCACCTGACCATTCATCTTGAGCAAAACAGGAGAACGGCGATCAGACTAAGATACCTCAATGTTGTAGTCGCGTGGGAACCAATCGTATTCTGCTTCTTGAAGTGGGTATGTAGCTAAGGCTTGATATCGGATCCTGATATTGGAAGTCAAAGCGTCAGTTTGCTTGATCATGTCCATTTTTGATCGACCAAAAGTATTGTTGTCTGCCAGTGTCGTCATCTCGGCAATCAAAACCCTAGATTTATCAAAATCACCCCATCGTCGCGCATTTAATACAGCCTCCATGAAGGTCACAGAAACTCTGTGCTGTCAAAATTCCTCGCGAACCGAATCATCCATATCTTATGATGAGCGTACTTTCGCTAAATCGACGTTCGACTGTAGCAACACTTCCTCCACAATGTCATCTGTGTAGAAAGTCAACGTATGAGACTTTCTCAAGTTGTTCTAATTTCAACATCAGCTGCAACGGTGCCAAAAGAATGTCTGTTTTGGTAGCTGCACATACAGTGGTTGCACCCACAATACGTGGACCCGCATATTCGCATGCTACATTTCCATCATGGGGAATGGTACGTTGGACTAACCCAACCGCACTTAAAACGGGAGTGTCAGTACCGCAGCCCACAAATTTTGTTGATTCTTTTACATGTGTGTGCTCAACCACACATCGAATGGGAGCATCACCTTTGTGGTCAGTTTCACCCACTGACCCATAATTCGACTCAACCACTGTTTTAGTGGGAGTTTTGGCATATCCGGCCTCAGTCCATACCCTCGTTTTTTTTAATCACATGTCGACAACACTCTAGAGGCGTACCAACCGGCATCTCTCCCTCAAAACAATTTTTACGTTGGGTAAATTGCCAAGCATACCAACAGTTCATACCTTTTCAAGTGGTTAGTTCCGGGCACCACTTGCTACTCGACACACTTTCTGAGCGACCACCTGCGGTCACTCCATGCAGCTTTGTATTTTTTCTTACCTGAGGAATGTCAATTGCATGACATATACCAATGAAGTGTGGATCAATTTCAGCATCATACGACTACCGAGCGCCTGAACGCTTCTTTCGGTACATAGTGATAGTGAGTTCATTGCCTCCAAGAGTTTCAACTACGCCAGGAGAGCTAAATTCAATCGTTTTGAACTCCAATCGATCCATAGCTTGTGATTTACAAGCCCCGGTAAATCTAAAAAAATGTCATACTGTTTGTCCATCTCGATGACTGTGATGTCTTCCTTCGAGTTGAAGTCTTCAAACTTCACTTGAAGATCAACCGTCATTTTGTTCGTGGTGGCCACCCAAAGTAAGATAAAGCAATTGTCTCGATCAAGTGCATCCGAAAGCGCTGAATCATAGTAAGCGTCACTTTGCTTCAGCACATAATTACGCTAAACGCCGGAATCAATCAAGGCCAAAGATGAACGACCGTAGCCCTTCACTCTCGATGTGACCACGAGGAGTCCACTCCAACCCGTGTCGTTAACGAAGGATAACAATCATTCGAGGACTTAATCCTCATGATCGATTCTTCCATTACACTCATAAGAGCTTATAATTGCCCCAGCACGCCGCCCGCATCTACGGGAACGCTAACGTGCTATTGTTATCACTTGACTCGGGGGCATTTCAACGAGAGCCGTATTGCGAGGTTCGTCTCTCACGTGGAGAAACACGGGGGATGTGAACGAATCGTTGACATCCGTACAGCGAACTTGCTGTCTACGGACAGTGACCGCGCTAAGATCCATCAGCTCTGGAATTCTGGTAGCAGCAGTCACTACTTTCATCGGGTTGATCGAGTGACCACATGCTTGACGCTGACAGTAGTCCTCACGCATTGCAATCATAACTGCATCTTCCATGGTCGACAGGCTCTGGCGGAAGACTTCAGTTTTGGGAGGACCATACGTGAGTCCTTCCATAAACACGGTATCCATCACTGCCGCTGGCAGTGGCTCCATTGCCATTCTGTCACGAAGCTCACCGAGATTCTATACGTTGTCGTACAATGTGCCGTTGTCTTGACTGCATAACAGAATCTTTGACCGTTGTCGAATTGCCACATTCGGTTTTAGAAACATCAATTGCATGATCGTTTTCAACTCTTGCTATATGGCGAAGTAGCCAGGAAGGCTGACTTTCTACGTCATTTCCCAATCCCCCGCACGGCCATCCGAATGAGACTTGGCAAAGGCCACTTGACTAAAGTCAACATAAATTTGAGCCTTCGTGATAGCGATGTCCGCCAGAACGCAAGAATTCATGTTCGATCCCGTGAAAGCTATTCACTTTGACCTTTATGGAACGCTCCGATATACCGATGGTGTCACCACAACTTGCGGAGGAGGTGACGGAACCAGAGTCGGGACATTTTGCAATATAGATCCCAATAAAAGCTTGCTCATAACAAGCAAAAATTTGTCAAGCGTTGAGTTATTGATTTAATTGGAGCATATCGGAGACCGCGTGATCTCAGGTTAGAGCTCGCCGCTTGATTACACACTTCCACTGCGAAAGTGTCAGGAGCGAATATTTCTCCTTGTTGATCTGAGGACGACCGCCGCCTGTGATCCATCGAAAAAAACATCGACGTTATCTGCCACCAAGTGTAACAGGAAGTACCCGTCCGTGTAGTCACACTTTCTGAGGAAGGCTTAGGTCAGCTGACACGCCTCACCGCGTATTGCTCGCTTCTCGCGAGCCGTTGACTACGTAGAGAGAAGAAAATTTGATGTGACATTGATTATAATTACCAATAGATTTTTATACTTTCTCACCTGTTACGTACTTCCAGTTCTGATACAACAGAACTGAAAGAGGATATACAACTATACAAGGTGTCCAGTTGATGTAAGACACATAAATATGTAGTCCACGTATAATGGAACCTGGCCCGTTACATAAGGTCTAAAGATTACGTACAGCGGAGCTGCCGTAGCTCTTTGCTTAGAGGA